TTTGTTTAATGATTTTTGTAATTCTTTATAAAATAGGTGTAAGCCTAGTCTTACCTAGACTTGCCAAAACATTAATTAGATACCGTAGTTTCGAAAGCGTCTGTTTTTGTTATGAAGTATTTGAAGTATACTATGGAACGCCATGCAAACAAGTAATATGGAACGACATTGGTGCCAAATGGATCTATTTTAAACATGATAATATGATTTTTTTTTTCTTTTGTGGGGTCCTCTCAACTTTATTTCACAATTTTTTTTTCTGGTTTTTAATAATTTTTTTATCAATGTAGTATAAAATGCTGTAAAAAACATTCAAACATTATAAAGAACAATTTTGACCTTTGCACAGCTAATAAAAATAATTTTAAAAACATGCAACAATACAGTGAATTGAGATTATTATTTGAGACATGAGTTTGATATAGGATCTGTTGTTTTGTTTAGCTAAGAAAAGAGTGTGGAGAGATCTGTAGTGCCACTTATTGATCGTTTTTAAAACATTAGCCTTGTAAATACCAATAATACCAAGTAAAAATAAGTGAGCGACAAATATGTTTCCTGTTTCAAAGATAATGTTTCTAAAAACTTCTTTGACGCCATACTTGAGACTAATACTATCTATGTGTTCTCATAGCTGATTCGCTTCGGAGATATGTGGATCATCTTCTACAACATTGTACTTTGAACACATGCTAGAATCAGTGATTCTCCAGTTATACAATCTTTTTTTTTATGGAAAGAATATTGTGCTACAATTTTAAAATTTAATTGAGTTAATTTGTCTTCTTTAATCAATTTTACTCTCCACGTCCAAGCGGATCCCCATTCAACAGATGATTTAAAGTAATTTTTCCACTTTGTTTGGCACTTTGATGGTTCTGTACATTTTTCATTAATAAAACAGTTCTAAAATTGTTTAAAATTCATATTGCACAAAGTGAAAGTAATAGCATTAAGTGGCACTCGAATACACTGTTTTACAGTTTGGATTTGAGTTTATAATTAAAATATAATTGAAACCTAACACTCCTACAATAAAATATCAACAACCATTAAGAATTATTACTAAAAAAATACATTAAAATTGTTTATAATTTTTTTTTATATATTTACAAATTCTTCACAATTTAGGATTTAATTTACGAATTAAAGTTACACTTTTTAAAAAAATGTCTAACATCATAATATAATTAATTAAAAACCACCACTACTTTACTATATAATATCAAAAAACTTTAAAAAAAAAAAACTATTACTAAAAATACATTAAAATTGTTACAAAAATATATCTTTTAATATTTAAACATTCTTCACAATGGAATACAGTTCACGATGGAATAATTTTTGTTTATTGTTTATTTCCTTCACATCACACAGCAAGTACGCTCGCCAATTACAGGGTGGAATGATGCTTATAAACCAAGTCTCTTTGTGAGGTCTTGGAAGTGGAGTTATTTTTAGTCGTGAGAAAAGGTTCTGCTGTGAAAGGAATTGAATCCATGACACTGGGATTAGAAGTCAAACATCTTATCCACCAAGCTATTCAACTCCACTGTAGAGTAAAACTAAAAGAGAAGCAATTGATAATGTCGAAATAAAAAATAATAGATAACTGTAAACACCAAAAAATAAACTGTGTTCATGTTTTAAAATATTTTTTTTTTATATTCTATATTGTTTTAAAAACTTAAAAACTAACTATATAGACTCTTAGCCTATTTCATATTGTTTTATGAATAGATTGTATAGGGTACACTATTCTTCTGCATGTATTGGTTTTTATGCATCCTTGGTAGGTACAATCAATCTAATTTTCAAACCATGCATTTACCCATGTTTTACTTACAAATCATATATGAATATAAATTAATTTAGCAAGGCTGTATTATAATGAGAAAATATTGTAAAACAATAAAATCACCTATTAACAAAATGTTGGTAGAGTCTAATAGTTAAAACACATATTGTGCAAAACAACATCCTACAACCGGTATTCATTAAGGATGCAGTCAGCTGTATATATTGCATTACATGCGGTAAAAACGGAAGCGTTTTAACTACTTTGTAAGACAGCCGACTTTAGATTATGGTCGTCACAAAATACTCCTTCTTCTTTCAAGTCTAATAAACGATTGGATGACTTAATTATTGCAGAAAAAACAAATCCATACAACTCTGAAACATATATCATCAGTAAAGCGATTGTCCGGGAGGTGTTTAAAAAAAAAGATACTAGAATTCCCACTAATTCTCACCTCAATAAGTTAATCAGTTTTAAAAGACAATATAATACCATAAAAAAAATATAATGTTAATCCAGTTTTAAGAAGTCGTCGGACTCCAACATGCAAAATATAGACATTTTATTTCAATTGTTATTTAACATCAAGGACTTCGATAAATAAAAAAGGTAATTTATTAAACCCATAAAATAGAGATATTCAACTGTCAAAAAATACTATCTATCGAAAATTAATAGGAATTCAATATACAATAAGTTTAAGTACCACGTTTAAAATAGACAGATAATTGTAAACTTCTCTATTCCAATTAAGTGCACACAAGACTCGAGGACAATCCGTGATAAACACATTGATACACGATTCTAACAAATGCCTCTTTCAACAAAATTCTAAATGGCCTTAAATATGTTTATTCGGCGTTTTAAACTTTAACCGTCGTTTTTCACTGGATCTTTAGCAGTTCCCGACCACATGTCACTGTTTACGTACGTACATTTCCGCATTCCATAGCCGTGTCTGTCAGGTATTTTTGTGGTTTTATATCGGACGCCAAAAGAGCAATATTAACATTAAATGTACTTACTTCCACACTCTGGTTTTATATGGAACGTCAAAAGAGCAACTTTCAAACACAATCAATTTTCATGCAAACTCGAGTTCCAGGCACAGTCGGTTAACAAACACAGTCGATTTTTTCGTCAAGCACAGTCGGTGGTCGGTTTCTTAAAAGTTGCCCCTGACCAATGTTGTTTCATCTAATTTCAGTGGTTTTTAAATATTTTTATCATGAAAAATTAAATGAAACTGCTATCAAAACCTTGTCTAAGTCCATGAAGCATGCTTTGTAGGTCATAAAACATGATCTAACCACTGCATTTTGACATTACTTTAAAAAATAACTGAACGAGATAACATATGCAACGTCCCTATCTTCTTTTAGTGGTCATACTGTTCTTTTTATCGAAACTAATCGCGACGCTCACATACTAGAGGATAAGCCGGCGCGGCGCGACCTTTCGTCTATCATAAATACTGTATTTTAAATACGGTACGAAACGAAAAAGAAGAGGACTCTTACTAAGAATACTGAAATACAAAAAAATAAACAGCCTCCGTTGGGACTCAATCTCATAAATGAGAGTTTAGAGTAACGATTAAAAGCATTTATCGATAATGATAATAAAACAAAAAAATCACAGTTTGATGAAAACGAATATAGTACAACAAAAAATAACTTACGCATTCTGCATAAGGGCCGATATTCCGGAATTGTCGCTTGGACCTATTGTCATACTGAAAACAAACACAACCAAAAACTATTATTAGAAAAATATTAGATATTAAATGTGTTCTAGTAAAGTCGAGGTCACGCTTGCTTCGTTCACAAATTACTACAATGGTTACAAGCAGTTCACTCATTCTCACCCTGGAACACATTTACAGAATCGTGGCTTTAGTGACAAGGCCAGGGTTTGCCTGATGAAGGTGCATATGTTCGGCGAGTCGTATATATGAGCGGTGAGGCAGGGGCGCCACTAACTACAACATTAAAATCGGTGCGGGTTCGAGCCGCTTCTCGCCCAGGGTTCAGTTGGTAGTACCAAGTTCTGTTAGTGTTCCCAAATAAGGACTTAAAACCGGAGGTCCAGTGTAGACACAACTTGCTCGTGTTTCGGAAGAGTAAGAGATGTGAACTAAACGCTTCAAGGCTCCTAAAGTAGTAACAGACTACTACGCCCATTCGCAATTCAGCACAATGATGCTGCGTGTTACGATATTTCACCTACCTTACCTTCCCAGATAGGGCCTGAACCCCACCCTCTTTGCCACAACCACTGCATATGATATGCATCTCAACTTCTCTAACCATACTTAATTGATATTAAGCATCCCATAACGTATTATCATTTTGATTGTCTTTAAATTTGCAGTCCTGCCTTCTGAAGGGTGCAATGGGGCATACACTCTCCCGTCATAAAAAAAAAATCAAGTAACAGAGTTGATTATTAAATTACCCACCACTGAATAAACACAAACAGTAAACCAATTGTCCAAAAATCATTGGTAAAACTAAAATCTCTGAGCTGTGGGATATCTCCCCTTACCCGTAATAGGAACTTGAAACTACGGTAGCCCCGTGTGTTCAAAGGGTATGTATATGCCTGTACCAACATTGGTAATTCGTTTAATCCTCTTAACTTAAAGTTCGTAAGCTTATTACTCAATGTACCGTGTGGAGAGCTATATTATGCTAAATTACCTCGATCTACTAATATATTTCCACCATAAGAGACGAAAATACTGCTATCATTAACTTCAAACTGAAAAGCCCAAGGAATGTTTTAACCTTATATTATATGTAATTTAATTGAGAAATTTGATGTTGTCACTAATACTGCCAGTCTTCTCTGAACTAGATTCCGAAGTATAATTGTTTTAAGATTAACAAATTTAGTTTGGACAAACCAACCACAATGGTTTTTATCTAAAATTATAAAACAGTACTTAAAGAACCGAGACAAGCAACTTTAAATTTTCAACTATAACGCACTTTCTCCATGAGCCTGACTTAGATATCAAAAAGAATCTAGATAATCTAGACTAGCTGAAACTTTATCCTTTAAAATGATGTGTACCATCACCGTTTTATTCTCTGCATGGTGTCTAATCTTATGTATCTGCATAAGTTGATTCAATAATGCCAAATAACATTTTAAGACACTACTGTACATCGGGGCATTGTTTATTATTTATAAGGGCCAAAACAATCTGGAATTAGAAAGAAAATAGGAAATCTAAACAGTTGTTTATTTTACCTCTCGGCACCGACTTCACATTTCTGTAGTGAAACTCCAGTCGATGTCAAGTTATCTGCTTTGCAACTGCTATTCAGTCGACAGCATGAGCGACCGTGGACTACGTACCATCTACAGGAGCAGCACCAACACCAGCAAAAGCAACAAGCTGTAGGCGAATTCTCCTCGTCCTCTTCATTTGTCTCAAGGCTTACAACAGCCGCATCAGGCCCCCTCTGTTCCTCGTCTTCCGTCCTCATTGACAATGCCGCGTATCGCTCCTTGGTCCGACGAATGGTCCAAGTCTGAAGAGATAAACAATTTGATTCGTTTAAACTGTGTTCATTGTGTTCCCTTTCATTACAGCAAGTAATATTCTAGAGAATATAAGCAAATCTACAAAAGTACCCAATGCAGTGACACGCAATGCTGATGGGGACACCTTTCAGCCATTAAATAAAATATTGTGTGGGACGAGAAGAAAACAAAAATAAAGGTCTGATAATCCACATAATGTAACTTGAATTGAAATACAGTACAGTACTTGCAATTTAAAATAACTTAAAGTCTGCAAGTGTTTCCTCGCATGGTAAGAACAATAGTATCCAATTAACAATAAAATGACGTGTGAGATGGGGTGTGATGTTTAAAGTTCATAAACTGTCAATCAGTAGTCTCAGTTGACAAAATGTTTAAAATTAGACATTTAAATACAATACATCTATACTGTACAAAATAAATAGAATAATAGGCCATATAAAACGTGTGTATCGTACGCGAAATTGTAGGCCTATACATTAATTTAGTCCTTGGAGTTCTAGCATACAAAACTCGAAATTTTACCGTTGACGATAAATATATCACAATAAATATCACAATAATAAAGTACCGGAACCGGCAACTTAATTTCATTGTGGTCCTAATTTAAAACTATATATTGTATCGCTGTCCCTCTGTATTGAGCGAATAAACTTCTTTTTCAAAGTTTTTTAACTTTCAATTACAAGAAGAAAATAATAAAATAAACAGACGAATTAGTTGAGTAAACCATGGAGTAAAATATGTAAACAAACCTCTTCTTAATTCTTGGCCTTTCTTAAAAGACAATCGCCCTGTACCTGGATATTGTTCTAATGATGAACGTACGAGAGTTTGTAAGATCGACAGCACGACGTAAGTCTGTTTGTGCAGGGAACAGTTAAATTGTTTCCTGGTTTGTGGAATAAGCGTGTATTCTAGGCCGTGTTCTGATTGGTCAGTCTAACACCTCGGAAAGGTCTATAAAAGGTGGTTTCGTAGTAAAAGTATGTAAATTCATTTTTGGTCATTTTTAATAGTATATTTAATGCTCTAATTTCTGAAGTTTATTAAATTTTAAACACAGACACATTTTCGAAGTAGTCAATAATAGTAATAGTGCCATCATGCGCAAGAACATATATTTGTTGCCTCAGTTAATCACCGGGGTTATCAATACACACCAACGGATATCATCAAGTTGACGACGAGGTTACAACTCCAATGGGCCTACAGTGCCTTCTTTATCCGCCGATAACCCTTTCATTCAAAATCACCTTGCTTTCCGCCCACAGTGTTTTTGTCTGAATACCATCCTTCCGCAAAACTGTGTTTGGTTGTGGTTAAAATAAAGTCGGTATCTGATTGAAGATTCACTAAAGTGTAAATAATGTTAGTATCATGCATCCAGCTGAATGTAACATAATACACACATTAAAAGTGCTGTAGAATAGGCTAAGGATGACGGTCACCTACTATAATCCTATTTTTATACTACAGGTATAGCTCTTATCATGGAGGAAACTAATTCCCCCTGTTCTGATAGTAAGTAGTAAACCCTAATTGTATGAGCCCGCATTTTTCAGCCCCGGAAACTCCCCACGGTAATATTACATAATTAGTGAGTTTTTCATTAAATTTTTTGTTTCTGTTAAAGAATACTGACTTTTAAGTTTGGATTACTCTTAATGTTGTCATAGTCATAAATCACTCAAAATGCAACAAAAGTTGAAAATTTCTTGAGTTTACATATAGAAATAAGGTTACCAAACAGAAAACAGACACAAAACAAGCATGATACAATACAATCAAAAGTGTAAGCCTACAGTAAATAATTAGAAAACAAATATAAAACTATAAAAGCGGTATTTACAATTTTATAAAAAGATATTAAATTTTATAGTTATCAAATATTTATATATTACACAGCAAATTGATTATTAATGGATATATAATGCAATCATCATACAAAATATACAATTCCTTAAAATTATTGAATATTTTCCTTATCAGTTTCATTAAAACCACAAAAAAAAATTTTAAAATTTAAAAAAATAAATAAATAAAAAGCGAGTGGATTCATCGAAAAGCATAAAGAAATTCCAATACATTACAATGATACAAGTTTATTTATTTAACAATTTTGTAACACTTGAGAGCGCTGAGGTAGAAAAACGATTGGTCCTGCAGCGTGGCACACTGTACTTGTTGAAGCTACGTAACCACCTTTCAAGTTACAAAATCCAAGATACAAAACGTTCTGATGTTACCAGACTCTTGCCAAATTTCAAAAGTAGATTAGATCGTCGTTCTTGTAATGGTGTTAGAGTAGGTGTATCCACGGAATCCTGGTAACTACTGTAGTTGTTATAGCCAAGAATGATCTTGAGTGCCCTTTTCTGGATGAATTCCACCTGCACACACTGCTTCTTCGTTAGCAGAATGCCACAGCGGACTAGCGTACTCCAGCAAGGTACGATAGGTAAATACAAGGTCATCTCGAGGGGCACCATAACGCCTTAGTATATACAACATATACAGACGACGTGAGGCCTTATATATCATTTAATTCACTTGAGTGTCCCATTTCATATTTTGTTGTATATGGACACCCAGCAACTTAACAACAGATTTCACTTCCAAAATGTCATTCCCTATACGTAACGGTAATGGCATGAAATTGGGTTTGTTCTTAAGGAAATGAACATACATTGCAGGTAGCATATCATTTTGGTTGGAGCTCATCAAGATGCTTCTGAAGAGAATGACCTGCTGCCATATGACTACCAAGAGGAACATGAATTATCTCACGGATAGTCAAGTCATCGACAAACTTCCATCTCTCGGGAATGTGTGCTAATAGATCATTGACCAACACAGTAAAGAGAACGGGGCGGAAGCAACGTTAGCTATCAACACACCTTTAATTTAACGATTTTGTATTTACATGTAGGCATATTATTATTTAATTAAAAATATTTCTTTGAAGATCCTGTCTCATTGTTTCAAATTCTTAAGATAAGAACATTATCACATTGGTCTCTGAAAGGACGATGCGTTATAATGCATGGCCTGGCAGGGCGGACATAAATATGTCCGTGTGATATCTTTACTTTATCAATGTTACTCAGATACCTAATAAATGAGTACAATGAGTATACACATACCTATATGAAGTGATTATAAACATTCACATAATAACTACTATAGTACACACCAGTGGCGTAATTAGTCTAATAAATTAATACATTCAAAATAAAAATAAAATTCATACTCATATGGACTATTTGTAGTATATTTTTTTAAAGGCAAGCCCATAATTATAAGTTAGCAAATTGGGGGCCCATGAGGAAAATAAATGGGAATACCTATCTGCTCATTTATGGGTCAGTATTGGGAAAAATATGAGCAATAAAAAAATCTGGATAAGCTATGTACCTGAACGTATAGGCAAAGGACAGTATGTTTACAAAAAACATTCGGGCAATCTATTGAAATAGAAAAAAAAATGTGCACATTGTGGGTTAGCGCATTTTGGCTAAAAAGAGAAAAAATTAGTACTGTACCCAAATATATATATAGGCTACAGTATATGGGTCAGTCAATTATGAGCACAAATATATGCACCAATATTCTTCTAATTAATTTATAATCATTAAAATTTATGCAATGCACAACAGCAGGAGGACACAGTTCACCAACAAAGTGTGTGCATACAATCAGTGCTGTAGCAAGGATTTTCAAACAGTGTGGGACAATTTAAGAGTGGACCCAATCGAACAGTGGACCCATTTCGGACTATTTCTAACGCGGGTTATTAACTGTACCCAGTTTTTAAACTATATAATTTAGGCAGCAGTGGTGGGGGTGGGTGGACGAAGAAGGATGAGAAGTTTGGTGCTAAGGCGCCGATCCCAACCTTGACATTCGCCATGGCGAATGTCAGGGTAAGAGATAAAATATTTTCCAAAATATTGCAGTGCCTGGTGGGCTGGCGAATTTCACTTCTCCCCTTTATTCAGAAATGCCACCTGCCACTCAACCAAAGACAAAAAATATAGATAAAATAAATGCAATACATTGCATTATCTAAATATGAATATTAATTGAAAGGGGACTATAAACTGAATCGGCGATGTGAGGTACTGTGAAAACGTAGTTTTGTATTTTGACTTAATGTCATGTATGGTTAAACAATAATCGATCACATGGTGGATGTGTGCGTTGATTCTTATAACCTTACTGAAAGGCACATATAATTTTATTATATTTTGTTATTTCAAAATCACACTAAAGCAAAAATCTATATAAAAAGTTACCTTTTAATTATTAATTTAATATTTTAACTATAATGTTATGGCAAAAACAGGTCTTTATTGGAGTGGGTAGCCTAGTTGTCGACATGGTTTTTAAAACTTAGGAACACACTTAAAAGCTGGAATGTGATACACATAAGAAAGTCAAACATTACCACCAAATACTGAGAAACTGCAAATCGAAAGAGCAACGATAGGAATAGTATCTTACTTTCAATTTAAACTGCGTTAGAAGTGGAAAAAGAATTTAAAAAAAAAAAAACAATGCTGGAAAATTGAGAAGATATCTAATTAATAAGAGTATAATACGGCACAGTATTATTTGGCAATTAAAATGTAAAGTTTTCCATGCACTCATTCTAATAACAGTCGAGAATGTACTGAATAAAAAAAAATCGTAAAATATTTATATTTAACCAGTAATATATTGTTAGGCCAGATATCATATAATTTCATTAATTATTTCACCAGTAAATCCAAAACAAGTATGGCTGACTGCTCGGATTGCAAAAAACAACTAAACGTCACTGTCACAGGGATCTTCTGACAGCACATCAGTACAAAAATACATAGTACATTCGAGTATATTATAATAAAAAATATATATAAACTCTCTCATTTTAAAATTTCATTCAAAAATCTAAAAGTTACCGTACTAGAAATGATGATTTATTTACAGCGCATAAAATACATACTAAATACGAAGCGTTCTTTTTGCTCTCGTCTCGTGTTCATTTCAATTGAGTATTCCTTGATTTATTTTTAACAAAAACTGAAAACGTTAATCAGTACTTAAAATTGTTTAAATTTAGATGAATACGGCTCGTGTAAAGCTAAAAACGTCGAATATTTCAAAAACTTGGAGCGAGGAAAAGGAGTGTCTAAGGGAAAGCGAATACTACTTGGCAAGTTCCTGTAGTACCAGGATATACGAGGTTGTTTACACTTTAAGGGGCTATGGTGTATTCAGCACGAGATTTGAGATTGGATTTTGCATCAGTGTAGGTGTCTTTTTTTTACCTGTTTATATTATATTGGTATTCTATTATTTTTTCTTTGTTTTATGTTATATAAACAAAATTATAATTTTTTTAAACAAGTTTCCTCTTTAATTTTAAAAGAAAATTTAAACAGCCTAAAGTTGTTAAATTTGGATAATGTTAAGTGGTTCCTTAAATTCAGTAATGAGACCAAATGTTTTAGTTTTGTTGTCTACACCTGTGTTTCCAATGTGAACGAATTATCACTCAAAATAACGTATGAGGCGAAAATATTGAATATTGTGGTCATTTCAATTGTGTTTTCTTTGATTTATTTTTAACAAAAACTGAAAACGTTAATCAGTACCAAAAATTGTTTAAATTCAAACAAATACGGCTCGGTTTATAAGCTAAAAGGTCAGAGCTTCCAGGGACTTGAAGAGAGGAAAAGTGGTGTCTAAGGGAAAGCGATTACTACTTGGCAAGATCCTTTAGTACACAGAAATGTTGGAGACCTGTTGAATTGTCCAAAAACAGAACACCTGGGTTACATTTCAGCCCAAAAAACACCCAAATAAAGCCCACGATGGGCCCATGAATTAATTTGGTCACACCCATATGAGTCCCAAATGAAACAATAATTCAAACCTAAGGGCCCAAATATAAACTTTAAATGGCCCATACATTCAGGTGCACCAACTTTATGGGACCATTATGAATTTAGGATGCACAGGTAGATCTTTCCCGAATTGGCCAATTTATAGTGGCCCTTACATTTCAACCCTAAAATGAGCCCATGAATTAATTTGGTCAAACCCATATAGGTCCCAAAATAACCATAATGCAACTTGCCTAGGGGCCCATATATATCCTTTAAAGGCCCATTATTTCATTTGGAACAACTTTATGGGACCCAATATAGATTTTGGGTGCACAGGCAGCTCTTTTCCGTATGGGAAATTTATACGGCCCCCTTTTCAATCTCTATTCAACCCTTAAAAACTCAGATATGGGCCCATGAATTAATTTGCGCAAACCCATATGAGTCCCAAATGAAACCATAATTTAAACCTTAAGGCACCCAAATATATCATGTAAAGGGGCCACAGATTCATTTGGGAAAACTTTCAGGGACAAAGGGAGCACAGGCAACTCTTTTCCGTATAGGCCAAACTGTAGTGGGTCCATCTTTTTGGCCTATAAATTTCCTATATGGGCCATGTTGGCTTGCTAGGGAAACAAACTAAAAATGCACTGTCCTCCACAGGCTCTGGTTCTTTATCT